CTTCCTTCCTTCCTTCCTTCCTTCCTTCCTTCCTTCCTTCCTTCCTTCCTTCCTTCCTAATCATAAATCACATTTCCTTACCATAGGCTTTGAGTAAAATATAGAAATTTACTTAAAATACCAAATGTCAACATGAATATGAAACTTACCTCTGGGTGGGTTAGGAATAAAGTCATGTACCAAAAATATAAATGAATAAAAGGATAAAATGATTGAGTTGTAGATTATTTTTGCGAAGCAGTTTTGAGTTAAATTTATCAAGCTTTTGTTAATTTCCTGTGGCTCAGCATCAAATAGTAAATATGCTATATTTACTATTCATTGAGCATATTTTTAAGCTTTGAATGATTTAATTTGCTTTGAATGCTTCATCTTACATTACGTTTTCTTTGTTTGGATGTCCTTCTCTTACAGAGGAAGGACAGTAATGCACAGGTAAGTCTATGGTCTGATTATCCAGTTGGTTTGTAGAAGGCAGAGAAAACATTAAAGATATATTACCACCTAAAAACTTTGAAAGACAGCCTGGTATTGCTTTCAAAGTCACATTGAAAGGTATCTCCTCTCTGCTACTACAGTCTCAGGTGTCCATCAACGCAGAGCATGGAGAGGAGCACCGGGACCGAGGAGAGTCCTGGAAAGAGAAGACAGCTCACAGAAACTCCACCACCAGTGACCAATCAGAGCATCCGCTGCTGAGGAAAAAGAGCATGCAGTGGGCTCGACGGCTGAGCAGGAAGAGCACCAAACCGCCGAGCAGAGCAGAGCGCATTTCGCAGCAGAGACTCAATCTGTATCGGCGCTCTGAGAGGCAGGAGCTGTCCGAGCTGGTCAAAAACCGCATGAAGCATCTAGGGCTTCCAGTTGTGGGATACGGTGAGTGCAACAGCTCACAACAAGATGACTAACACTAAAAATCACTTCACAATTGTGTAGTTGTGATAACATTCATCAAAATTGAGAGTTAATGTTGACGGAACCTGATAAAGCTGTTTGTGTTTATCTTTCCTTCATTCAAATCATTGAATGTATCCAGAATCTGTTGATGCAGCTGTGAATGTTAGCAGATTGGAGTCGTAGCTCAGAACACATTTTGATTTTAAATTGCAGTTTTGGAGCAGACATAATATAGTTGGTTGACTTTAAACTCAGTGAGCAAACTTTACCAAGATGAAGGGACAAATTCAGGCGCTAGAAAAAAAAGAGTAACAGAAAAGACTTGTTAACTTGTTTTACATGATTTTAATTATCTGAAAATTACAGCTCACTAATGCAAACTTAGAAACTATTTCATTGTAGGACTAACTTTAAGACTTTTCCAGAGATTGCTGGATTTTAGATTATTTTTACCTGATTTTTGATATGCATTTTTTAAATCTCCAACTAACTCTCATCCAGATAATCAGTGTGACTCATTTAAGCCCACAGAGAACTGATTTTTCGTTTGTAGAAAACCAAAGTGGTGTTTGTTATCAGCAAACTGATTCCAGTGCTAACCTAATGCTTTTCTGTAACCCTTCAATTTCAATGGTGTGGGGAGATACAGTTATATAGCTTATAATTTATTCTACTCTATAACATATCCAGATTTTACACACCAGTCAACCTGTATCCATTAGTTTGACCAAAGGAGTCAAAAATATCTGCAAAACATTACAGCGGCTGAATCACATGTTGTCACATATTTACACAACTACTAAACTCTCAAATAAACTCTCTGTAAATCAAACTATGCAAAAATCACCCAACAGGCTTTTTTTAAAATCTACATCTATATAAATTGACTCAAAAGTAAAACTACCCAGACAGGATTTTCTATGAAAATCCTCTAAAATTCAAATTTTTTAATAAGTCAGGACACACACTAAAATAAGAAACATTTTAATTATTCCCAATTCAATTTGTTTTCATATTGCTTGTTAGAAAGCCATTAGGTTAATTTTGCCAGCTAGAACTTTGCCGACAACACCTGCTTCCATTAGAAAAATATTTTCTTTCCACATCTGTTTATCTTGTAAGGCACTAGATTAATTTTGCTAAAAAAAAAAAAGAATACAAGGATAGTTTTTCATGAGACCCCTATTCTGTTTAAATGGTTTTAGTGACTCTACTCGTCTCTGTTCTTGTTCATACTACTTAAAATGTTTCTTACCTACTTCAATCAAACAAGCAGGTCCAACTACTTACCTTAATAACATTAAAACTAAAACTAGAAAACTTTTAGGTTTAAACATATCTTTAAGGTTCAAATCTTTAAGATTCAAACAGTTTCCAAGGTAGAAAAGAACATTTGCCCACTGAGGCTCAACTCAACCAGTTAAATTATTCTGTTGTGCAATCAGCTGTGTTTAAAACTCCAATCTGTGCTTCAGCCCCTTTTTTAAACGCATCCATTTCTCTTCATATTGAATATAATGAATATCAAGATGTAACATGGTTCTTCAGAAAATTGCATCATCATGGTAACCCTCTTTAAAATCATCCAAGTCATCCTTCACACACGTAATCATACAAACATGATCATAAAATGCATGACGGTGCAGGCGCATTAAACATTGAGTGCGCTGCATTTGACCTGATTTCTCCTCTGCTCAGTTTCATTAATTTTCTTTTTTCAGCTTCATGTTTAAAAGCAACGGAATCGCACCCCAGATGGGTTTTACCCATAAACTTCTGTGTTCAACGTGAATAAAGCGATAATAAATACTCACTTTCCTCTTAAAATGTCAGTTTTTTCTGATGGTAAAGAAAGATTTCAGCATTCAGTCATTTTTGGTTAGACTGTCAGCATCTTTCTGAGATAGATGCCAATAGTAAAAATAAATAAATGAATAAATCAGGCATTTAGCTTTCCCCTGAAGCCTTCAGATAAAACTGAATGATACGTAAAATTGTTACAGATTACATTAACTTTATGAAAAAGTCTGGTTTCGGAAAAAAAGTTAAAGAAAAATAGCCTTGCATCAGGATGCTTCTACTGCCGTATTTTAATGTGAGGATTGGGTTTATTTGAGAGAACATAGTGTCTAGAAATGGTCTCCTGTCTTGTAGCCCAGACATATATAGAAAGCATGGCTGGTCATGTGCATCTAGTCTTTTTATTAATTATGAAGAGGCATCCAGTTATAGTAATGTCCCTATGGTTCCAAATTCTGCTAAACTATCATATCAAACTATAACTGAAGAATGCAAACAACCAAATATCCTGAAGCTTTTTCTAGGACAGTTGATATTTATATTTACTCAAAAAGACTGATTGCTGGAATTTAATCAAAAAGCACATTGCACAAGAATGATCACAAAACTCTAGCATTTTAACATTGTTTGTGCACATTTGCTGCAGGATGACAACATGCATAAAATCCCAAACAAATCATCTGTTGTTGTTTCCGTGCACACACAGCAATGCATGGCTTCTTTGCTTTGCTCTCACCTGTCATAAAAAGAAAGGTTTCACTGCCTGCCTGATCTTTTGATTACTTCTTCCTTTTGTTTTTTCTCCGTCTTTCTCTGACTCCTCTGTCTCCCCCCTTTGTGGCTTGTAGAGGATGTTTCTAATCTCACTGCGAGCGATGTCATGAATCGAGTAAATCTAGGATATTTGCAAGGTAAACTATGTCATTTATAACCCATACATCTACAAAATGTCAGTGCTTATGTCTAAAGTGGAGAAAGAATTTGATTTCCTTTTTACCAGCATCCAGTAAAGCTTAGCGATTTGAATTGATTCAAGATTATACAGAACTAGTTTGTAGTCATTTTGATTCTGATACATAAACAATTTACAGGTTATTATAAAAAAAAAAGGAGTTTGAAGTTAACAGTGAATGCCGTTGCTTAGAGTTGCAGGATATTTCAGAGCAGCCGTATACAGAGGGGACAAGGCCGTCAGGTTAGCTGGTTGATCACAGTACTGCAACTCCTCTGCATGAGTGTGGGTGTGGGGCGTGTGGGTGTTTCTCTCCATGTGTGTTTCCTGCCAGAATGAGCGGTAGATCAGCAGCCAAATTCTTACTCTCCTGTCTCACTTTCTGTCTCTGTCTATCTGGCCTTTGCTGCATTGTGTCCCTGTGAGGTGACGTCCCAAATGGCTAGATTCCCGCAGGGCATCAGAGTATGGCTTAAAGAGTGGAGTGGAGTGCATTATGTCTGTGGATGGAAGCTTAGACTCAGACTCCAAATTTCTTTTGATCTTAATCTTGAATTACATTATAGCGTCCCTTTATCTCCAAACGGCAGTGGACCTCAGAGTGTATCGTAGATTTATACCATGGTCTTTATAGCCAGGCTCAAAAAGAAAGAGACTTTAAAGCTTGTTAAGGCTTTGCTACAGCAGGTGTGTTTGCCTGACATATCAAAAGGTCTGCTTGAAACTGTAAAGCGTGACGGAGAGAAACGCTTCCTCTTCTCCATCTGAAGCCTGAACTGAGCCTCACGGGGAATTTAAACAACATTTATAACCTTCATTTCTTAGAAATTATATTTTGCCTTCATCCGTTCTTTCACAGTGCATAAATAAATCGCTTTTAGGCTATTACAATGCCTAATAGCGCTGTAATAGCATATGCGCAAAGTAAATGTGAGAATCAATGAAATGTGTTTGTGCATGCTTAATAACTCATGTATGCTTTAAAAAAATTATAAATATAAAACAGTACAGCATGCACTTGTAATGGAATAATGAAGAGGCAGGAATATTTTTTGAAGCCATTGTGAACATCAGTAGCAGTTATTAATCCCTTTGTTGCTACTTCAAGACTAATGGTGCCACTACTGCAGAGACTTGAATTATAAAGGGGAAAGTCTCTCTGTAGAACAAAAGTAAAGATTGTTGATTATCTGTTAAGAGACTATAAAAATCTACTGCATGAACGTCCAGTACGTCGATTGGTAAACCATCAGTACAGAACACAGGCCTTTTTGTCTGAAATTACAGCATTAATTTATCAGCAGTACTGTTTGTGGCCTTGGTATAATCCCTATACTCTGAGGACTGTGTGATAAAGTAAGGATTAGAGCAGAAACTCAGTGAAGGGATTAAACTTTGACCCTGCAGGTTGATCTCTTCCACTCTCACACTCCCGATGTGTTCTGCTTCACTCTCCGTTTGGTTTCAGTCGCTCTGCGTTTGGTCCGGTCTGACGGATGCTGGAGCATGTCCTCTGTGTCTGTGGGTCTGTGACATGTCACCTCTTGGGCTGTGGGGGAGGTGGGGGCGGCAGCGGGGGGGTGTCGGGGAGGCTGAGTGTGCTGTCCTGTGGCATGGCCCTACCAGCCTGCAGCTCCGGTGTGAAGGGGATGGGATGGAGGGGTTTCCCCATTTGTTGCGGACGCTGTCTGCATGTCGGCGCCGTTCTGAAGCTGGGCATGGTGGTTCTGTGCGGGTCAGCGGGCAGCATGTGGGCCTCCCCTTTGTTCCACAGGGTGGCCTGCCAGTAACGGTTAGCCCTTCTCTCTTTCCCACACCGCCTGGCTTTGTAAAGGGCCACAAGCAGGTGGGTGATGGAGACACACACCCCCTCCTTTTCCTTCCTCCGCCTGTCACTAGATGCAGTAGGAAGCACAGCCAGAGAGCACACAACACCATAGCTAAATACAACATGCACTGATATAGCTACTGAGTAATATCAGGAAATTAAATTAGATCTCTATGACTGATTAATGAGGCTGTTAAGTTAAACTTCAAAGATTTTTATCTGTTGAACTTTATTATTATATATAAAAGAAATCAATGTTTTGAAATAGAGATGATAATGATTAAAACACTTTACAAATATCACACTATTGCTTCAAAGAGTAGATTGAACATTATTGTGATTGCAAAAATATTATTTCAGTTTTTCAAAAATATGAATCTTACCAATTAGGAAGAGGTTTAGGTATTTTAGTTTTTTTTTTTTATCTTTTTTTTCCCCCTATGGTTCTGTTTGTTGTCATGCATTTAGATATTATCTCATATCTACACATTTATGGTTTATTGGTCATTTTTAGAGCAACTTATTATAAGCATGAAAAACTGAATTTTAATTCAAGAGAGCACAACATAAGGTCTGGGCAGAACATGCCCAAACCATCATACTGACTTGTTTTACAACAGGATAAAGTGAGTGCAATTAAATTTAGGATGCATTCTGCAGTTTGCACCCTTCATAGCATAGTAACATAGTGAGTCTGAAACGAGCAACCTCACAACAGACTTTATTAAGACATGAAAGTTGCCAACCTTAGAAATCATTGTGCTTTCCTTTTAAATGTGTTTGATGTATTATTTTTTTTATTATTATAATTTACTGGATGCTTTAAATGCCGTGTTTCAAATAATAAAACAATTAAAACTGTTTTGTAACCAACTTTCAAAATTTTAAATGTATATTTACTCTTTAAGTTTTCCACAGTCAAGCATAAATAATTATCAATGCAAAGCACAAAATACACAAATAAATCATGTTTTTTACATGTAGATTTTAATGTAGGTGGAATTACAAAATAACAGGAAAAAAAAAACTGAGCTCATATTCCAAACTTTAAGATCAGTTCTATAATTATTACCTCATGGAATTAATGTTTTACTGACTGGGAATAAATTAATTTCATTGAGGGTAACAATTATGGTGCATGTTCTTTGCAAACATATATATTTAAAAAAAAAATGAAATATGTCATTCAAATGTTAAACTCAAGTCCAGTTTTTTCCTTTACATTGTTTGAAAACGTAACTTAGATTTTAAATATGGGAATGTTTTGCTTTCTGAGGTTAGAGGCCCCATATTTTGGCTGATTTGTGGTTTAATGGACGTGGACGAGGGAGGGCTCCAGAGCGGCTCTAACGGTCTCCTCTGTCACTTTTTCTAGACGAGATGAACGACCACCAGAACACGCTGTCCTACGTCCTCATCAATCCACCTCCTGACACCATGCTGGAGCTCCATGACATTGTGTAAGGCCTGGTCTTCTTTTTAAGCAGTCTTTAATTGATCCTCTACTGTTTGATGCAGGAGTCATCAGCTTCTTCTGTTTAAAACTCAAATCTTTAGGATTCAGAAAAATTAAACATTCATTCTAGAATATTTTTGTTTTTCCTAAGGATGTATTCCTACTGGTCTACTTAAAACAGGTTTGTGTCCTCCTTAGGTCCGGACCTTTTGTGAAGGTTTGGATTGACTTAGCAAACCTTTAATTTAATAATTATTTTTGGTGCTCTCAATCTGCTTCTAAATGGACTGTAACTACAGCAATTATGCTTCTCTTTAGCAGTCCTACATAGCAGTGAACGTGGTATCCAAATCATACCTGATCCAATGTCTGTTGCAGTGGATCTCCTGCCTCGCAAAATGCCATTCCAAAATTTTTAATAAAAATGTCTAAATCTCCATTGAATGAGCTGCTCTGACAACAGCACAAAGCTGCATAAAGATCTCCCATAAATATGTCTGTGCCCTTCCCCGCCCTGCTGTTTCTGTCCAATGAGAGTGAAGCTTGTCACACCCATGGCTTTGGTCTACGTCCTCTTGCCAATGTACAATTTGAATGCAAACCAAACTAAATGAACAAAAAAAAAGTGCTTTGGGTCCGAACCAAACAAAGCGCTTTTCATTTTTTATTTTTAGTTTTTAGTTTTAGTTAAATCCATGGATTATATTTGAAAAAACATAAAAAATGAATTAAACTATGCATTTCGCTTTGCAGTTAAAGTTTTCTGTGCATTGACCAGAGCAGACTTTTTCAACATGAAGCAAAGCTTGTTTATTTAAAATGGTATGTTTAGATTTATTCTGTTTGACACCTTAATTAATGATCTGCTTTTAGGCAGTTATTGGATTATTTTCCCTAAAGTGGTAAACACTAGTGTAAAAAGCAGCTAGCAACTGTGGTTGTTGCCATATACTGGAATTTACACAAAGATGTCTTAAATTTCTGTGCATTGTACATAATCTCTAACTTAAAACGTGCCTCTTCAACTATGCTTTGCCTTTAAATATGATCTGATATTCAGCATTAAAATGTGTTTTTTATATCCATACACACACAAAAAATATGATTTACTAGTTGATTCAGGTTAAAATGCAAGTTAAAAATGAAGCAATAGATGTAGTAGTTTATATTCAATGTGTATTTATTTTTTGTATTATCTATAACCTGCTGGTTTTGGATTATATCCTGTTTAAATGTTATTTTTCTAAGTTAAGATCATCCTATCATCATATCTACCTAACCTAATTTGATAGGTGGATATTTAATATCAAGTTTAGTCATGCTTAGCAATTAAACTAATAGAAATAAAAATAAAGGAGGTCCTGTAGTGAGTTCTGTAAAGTTCAAAAAAATGCAAACACTGTGTAGGAAAAAATGAGGCATTTATTATATTTATCACATGTAAAATAGAACACATAAGAATATCAGATCAGCTTCACGTGATTAAAATGTATTTTTTTAGTGTATTGAAAGAGATTTGACCTCCTTGAACCTCAGACTTTTAGCTCTTTAATATTCAACACCACAGAGAGATACAAACAGCATCTGGTTTAAAGAGATCTTCTGTGAAAATGAAATCTTATATTACTACAGCGCAGTAACAAGTTAAGGATATAAAGAAAAACACCAACGTGACCAGCTTTTATTCTGTTAAAATGAAAGCAGATTGAAAAATGTTAAAGTTAGATTTGGTCTGAAAGTGCCGACCTTAATAGTAAGAAATACATGGCATAAGTTTGTATTCTTGGGAGCTCTGAAAAAAGAAATTTTTTTTCTGAAAAGCATGAAGAATGGACTAAAGTTAGAGCGAAATGAAACTATTTAGACCAGAGGTTCCCGAGCTTTTCCCCCTATAGCCCGCTGACCTAAAGGCGTTAGCTTCTGTCCCGGCTCCTTTGCAAACCCATAGAAGGTACTTCAAAATATGGACAAAGGAATGTTTCGTTGTTGTTATTTTAACTCTTATGCTATATTAAAAACAATATTTAATAACTATTAAATGTGTTAAGCATAAAATCATTAACTGAAATATTTTTACACCACTATTATATTCGTACTGAATAACGAATTTTTCACCAAACTATTAATAAGAACAGAACAAAAGTGTGTAGGGTAGAGTGGGCTTAATGTCTGCCAGCGCCATCCACACATCATAGTCCAACTGGTTTTGAGAACCTTTAAAGTTGAAGAAAAAAAAAAAAACAAACCCTGTTTTTGTGTGTTCAGTGGATGGAGAAATATATTTCTTTTAGTCTCCAACCAGCTGGTCGAGCTTAAACGCTGCAGTTTCTCTGCATCTCTGCCTCTTTTTTTATTACTGGCACAGCAGCTAATGAATTATCATGAATCTTGTCCTTACAGGTACATTATTCGCTCGGACCCACTGGCACACATGCCGGAGGACTCACAGATGGGACACAGTCGAAACACCAAAAACCAACATGACTTTGGCACAGAGACAAAAAATGAGACTCACCTTTAAATAATCTGTTCCACGAGTTACCAACAGAGCGGGAATAAGTTGCACAGATGAAGGTCTAACATGGGCGGCGGTCAAAGTGAATGTCCATTAGGTGTCTCTCAGCCTCAGACCAGAGTTTTAACACATTAAAAAAAAATAAAAATAAAAACAGCCCTGTGAGACCAACCACAGAGTTGATATAGGAGAATGCATGAAGAGTGCCTAGTCAACACAATCACCGATCTGTCAGAAACATTCCCTTCACTAAACTCTCTGGCAAAAGAGAATGTGAAAGCAGCTTCCTCCACAGAGTCTGAGAGCAGGGATCAGCAGCGTTATTAGATCTAATTGAATGGTTAAGGTTGGTTCCTTTGCAGGTGTATAAAAGTGAATCACTGCATCAATCAATGTTTTAGCTCAGAGGAGAAGCTACCCTTGTGCCAATGTTTAGGCTGACTGCCTCTCCGCCTGGTTCTGCTTATATTTTGAAACTACCCCTTCACCTCAAACACAAATCAAACACCATGCTTTGTTTTTAAAGAGCTGATTTTCTTCTGTTATTATGACCCTTCAATTTATTCTTGGACTATAACAGGCATTTTTTTCCTCACAAGCACATTTTTAACTGTCAGTATGCGATTGCACAAGTGGGCAACTTTCTTAGCCAAGTTAGCATTTGTTTCATCTTTATTTTTTCCCTTCGGTCAAAAAAATGAAATATCAAGTGATCCTCCTGTTAGGATTCATGTGTGCTCCACATTCTGTGCCATGTTGTTTACTCTTATTTATTTGTAAATATTGTTATTATCGTGTCATGTATTAATTTGTGTGACTTTTTTTTTTTATCATTTTCAGACCTGTTTGCTACATATGCTGCTACCTTGCACAAAGTAAACTTGCAGAAGGAAGATCATGTAGAAAATAGCTGTGTATTTTCACAGAGGTTAATATATGATTCACGTTACCTGATCTGTATTAAAATCAACTAAGTCTTGATTATAACACCAGCTGCAGTTTGACCCTAAGTATTTATTTAAAATTAGCTTATTCTGAATACTAAATGCATTATCTTCAAATTGAATTCAAAATTTATATTTTTATTCCATCTGTTTTCTTTCTCAATCCATGGGATGCCTGAAGATAAATTAACATTTTCCTTTAATTTTTTTAAATATATTTGCTGCCTCTTAAATGTGGCTCTAAAATTAGCAAACTGTTTGCTTAGTTTAGTGTAAAGGCTCCACTATTTAGTGTTAACCATATATTTGTAACATTTCTGCTAAGCTAATCGATCTAGTTGATGGTTAATGCTTAGCAGATGCAGTGCTGTGAAAAAGTAGGTTCATCCTCAGGATTTGTCAGTTTTTTTTCTTTTTGTTATACTTGCAGCACTGTCACTGCTGGGGATCAGAAACCATAGAAATAGCTTTAACACCCACTCCAGTGGCTGATTTTCTCAGCCTTTCTTACATTAAGTTAGAAAGATCTGTGCTGCTGTTTGTAAACTTCAACCCTACTTAAAATATATTCTTGATTCTACAAGTCAGACAGCAACCAATCTAGAGAATTTATTAAACGGTGTAGTTATTGCTCTGTTTGTTTTTTCTAGTATATTAAGATGTCTGAAAGGGGCCAAATACTTTTTCCCAGCACTGTAAGCCACACAGAAAGATCACATTACAACTGTAGCCATGAAATATCATAAATAACTTTGTTTATTCTTTATATTTGTTTGCCTTTTTGAGTTCTGATTTGATAAAAACATGTCAGCCAGGGTCAATTTGATAGCGAATGGATAGCACACATTAAAATGCCTTTTAAGTTCTGCTCAGCAGGATGTTTTGCACAGGAATTTAAAAACATCATCCAGAATTTACCTCTTCTCATTTATTTTACAGATGTATTTATAAAATGAAGTGCTTTGGTTTGAATTGTTAAGGCCTCACTTTGTGTACGTTTCAGTATTAATTCCTGAGCCATTTTTTTTCATCTGTATCTTGGTTTTATTCACTGTAAATATGAACTGTATACACGGTTTTGTTCCTATGAAAAGCGAAAAGGGACTTGAACTATTTTTGCACTAAGCTCTGCGGCGACATGTGGGGCCTAACAGCTTGACCCTTTAATTTGAATCTGTAGAACATGGAAAATATGAATCTGCGAAGCAAAGACTCATCATGCATTCATTCATGATTTAGGCTGCAGATGTTTGCAGATTTTCATTTTGGGTATGCTGTTTTATTTCTCATCTTAAATGATCTTGGAAGTAATAGATGAGGGATTGCTTAGATTTTCTTTTCTCCAAATGGTCCAAAAAAATGTTGGCAGAGTAAGAAGCAATGGTTTACAGGCAGTAAATGAGTGTCTGTGATAGAGGATGATATCAGTGTACAGATTGACTTATGAAACACCTACTGTACCAGGATCCTCACTGCAAACTCTGACAGTTCTAAAAAAAAAAAAAAAAACTTCACACTGGGTCTTCAGATGTGAGAAGCTAACCAACACATGGGGCATGTTATCTCTTAAAAGCATGTTTTGATATAAAAAGCTTGCCAAGAATGAAACATTTCCTTCTTTTAGCAGGACATAAACGCTGTGTCCTGTTGCCACATTTAAAGCCCATAACTCAATCAACTGCTTGCAAGTTGGAGCCATTATTTGATACTCTGTATTTATATGAATGGAATGTGCATGTTGTCTTGATGTTATGAAAAGCCAATGTTATAAGTTTACCTCCACTTTGTTTTTGAATCATTGTTAAAAAAAAGGGATTATCCATTTTGTACTATTTCTTATGAGAAGTGCACATACAGATGCGGACAAATAAATGCTGCATGCAGCCAAATACTCTGACTGGAAGAAGCTTTTATTGGATCTGAATCCATCCAAGTGCATAAGTAGCTTTGGTGTCAATGTTAATTTTATTTAAAATCAGTTTATGTTGTCATTTTCAACAGGAAACCACAAAATAATTTCGATTGAGATTATTAGACTCGATTCTTCAATAGATTTCTAAACAAAATAAGCAAACTAATTTATAATGTATAAACTTAAGCAAAATATAATCTATAGCAGTTATGTAGTTCTGCTTTTGGTGTCACAGTACAACCATTTGATAAATTAACACAGGATGTGAGGAGACTGCTGAGAGCCTTACCCTTCTCAGCTCCCCTCACTATCCTACGCAGGGCCTTCATTGTCTGCCATATCAGAGCTGAAGCAACAGCCTGACATCACTCTGATAACCACAACTCTGAGGTCTGCTGAGGGCATTCCTCTCCTTCCATCAAAGAAAATATTAGAGTAGCCTTTAAATATTTCATTTGAAATATTACTGCTTAACCTTTCTGTTAGCTAAATGATAACATTGGGTTGAATTTACATCACAATAAAAATAATAAAAGAGCAAGGGATGCAAATGGTCACAAAAAGCATAAAATCTGTGCATCTTCAGAGAAAGTTTAGTAGAAGGAAAAGGTGTGATAAAATAACCGCAACAGGAAAACGGTGAATAAAACTTACTGATGGAGGCAATAGATGCTAAATAAATAAGTTTAAGATAAACCAACACACTTTAAATACACAGACATATGTGGGCTTTACATCTTAAGACCCCATCTGCCATCCCTCCATTGTACTCTCCATCTCTCTCATGCAAACACATAAAATGTTGACGGCAAAACTAATAACTAGGAGGTGTGATGGATTGAAATGAATCCAAGTCCCATTGTTAGAGGAGCTTTTTTGAGCTTTCCATCCATTTTCTGTTCCAGGTGCTATTTCAATATTCCTTTAATGAAATGACAAAAAAAAATAAACATACAGACCTGTCAACAGCAAGCATTGACCGATAGAATAACATTTTAATTTTATAATTGCAAAATATATAATGATGCAGTCTTATCAAATGGACAATAGTTTCTAAGCAAAACAAATGTCATTCAGTAAAAAGTAGGTTTGGATAACAGCTGATGAATTTATTTGACATTTTCTAAGAAATCATTCATACAATCTAAGAAGGCATTTTTTCAGTTTTACCCTCAATCATTGAGCAAATTTATTGAGGACACAAATATAACATTTAAAAGTGAAATTATTTGATTAAACTTACTATCAAACTGACTTCAGACTATACTCAGTGAGACAAATCATCTCTATAATGGAAGCATTCTGACCCCAGACAGAATAAATCGTCATTCAAAGGGAAAAAACAAAGATTATACTTTAGTTTGCTTTACCGCCGCTGCTTGTTAACATGAATGTGTCTCCATCGCTCTCTTGTCCAGCGGCCGTTGTTCTGAACCACCTCATGAAGCAGGTCCATGAAGGCATACTCATTCCCTGAAAGCAGAGTTTCATCATCTGGAGAAGCGCCACCAGAGGGCGCTATTGACCCAGCAGCAGCTCTGTTTTCCACCCTCTGCCTGATGGTCACAGACTGCTTCTGCTTCATCTTGCTGCTGTTCCTCTGTGCAGGGTGTTCCTCTGACTTCTGCTCCTCACTGGGACCCATCGGGGCCTGACTGACAGGATCTGCATCCAGGGTCATTCCTTCTACCTCCACCACACTCACTGGACTCTCATGTGGGTTAGAGCTCCCAGAAAGTGTCCAATTCATGTTGGTTTGTTCCTCCTTTCCACTCTGATCAGAGCCGCTTGGATCCTCCATCATGATCTTCATATTATCTGAGAGCTTCATTGCTACAGTTTGTTTCCAAACAGCAAACTGATCTTCCTCCCCTTCTTCCTCTTTTCGTTTGCACCTCTCCTGCCACTGAGCTGCAGTGGGAGGCCAGGTGGAGATCCTCCTGATGGATTTACCCCTCTGTGGACCTGGACCTCCTGCACACTCTTGATCAGGGCTTGGTTTGTTCTGCACGGTACCGATACTCAGGTATGGTATAATGTCGATGTTGACATCAGAACATTCCTGATTTTCAAAAATGTTTCCCGCATCACCTTCTTTTATTGAGTCCATGGATTCAGACATTTCTGGGTTATGTCCTCCCATCCTTCTTGCCCCACTTTGGGACACTGCGGTCTCTATAACAGCAGCTTCCAAAGGAACTTCGTTCCCAGTTTGGAAAGTAATTTTGTCCTCAGGCACATAGAAAGGAGATGAGAGGAGGATGGCGTTTGCTGATTTTGCTCTGATGCCAGTGAAGGATCTTCTCCAAAGCTCTGCTTGGCATCCCTGCATAGAGCCTTTTGCAGATTGATCCTGATTAGAAACACCGTCTCCTTCATGCTTCTTCTCTTCTTCTTGTGGACATCCAGGCCTTACAGCTTTGTGGTTGCGATTTCTTCTGTGCATGACTGCCATGAAACTCACAACAAGCAGCAGCACACAGAGGACCGCTGCACAACAGCAGAAGGATCATTTAATACATGAGAGGAAATATTTCAATTCAAAGGAACTGAAATTTTAAAGAAAATGTAAGATTACCAATAACAGTGATAAGAGCACAGACATTAGTGTTGGAAGGTGGAGGTGGACCTGAGGGCCGAGTAGAATCCCACAAACCAGTAACTCTTCCTGCCAAAAACCAAAAATGACATAAAAAACTTAGAATTGATCAAATCTCATCTAGGATTTGGATTAATTTTTTCACATCAGCAGATTTATATATATTTATATATATTATTTTTTTGCTATGGAAGTGAGACAAAATCCTCTGTCACCACCTGCTGGTACCACGCTTGAAATCAAGGACACCTCTGACAGGGCTTTATGTATTTTGGTTTCAACAAACATTGTGACCAATCAAAAGAGAATTAAATAGCATGAAAGTACGGATGCTTTTCTGGATTTTCTGCCAATTACTTCTTTTAAAAAGGTAAAATACATAAAAGTGCTTCTTATATATTAACATTCTTTATATTAAGCCCACCTTCCTTAAAAAAAATCAAATAAAAACCCTGGTCTGACTCAGTATTGTAAAACTAATGCAGTGTTTTCCTTCTGTGTAGGTACAAAATATACCATAGAAACAAATGCTTATAAACAGTCTATGAAATGAATATATTGTGTTAAACTTACCTGGACTGCAGAGAAAAAAAACTTTTCCATGATATCCTCATTTATTTAGATCCACTGGTTTATTTGCTAAACTATTTAATATTGCAGGTTTATTTCTGTTAACTCTCGTAGTTTTAGCTTGCAGCTATTAATTCAGATAAAGCCCAAGATGAATAAAAACATTTTGAATACAGAAACTTTTATGCAAGGCCTACACAACCATGGGCTGATCCAGCAGGCAGTCAGCAACACCCTCTATCAATAAACTGAAGGAGGTGTGAAATAAAATAAATTACTTCACGGTGTGGAGAGTGGCTGGAGCTGATGCTACCAGAACCACCACAGACATTTCCTAGACTAGAGCTATTAACGACACGTTATGTGTGTTAAACAGGACCTGGACAAGAAAGAAAAGGAACTGTTGCTCAATGGCCCAAAGTCATCTTCATAGATACCAGTCAATTTAGCATTTAATTTTTTAATCGAGGTCAGAGGGCCTGCAGGAAGAGTCACAAACCTACAGATCTGAGAGTCTATGGAGTGTTAGAGACAAAGATGAGACCAGCAACACTAACCTGCTAAAATCACAGCAAACTGGGGTTTAACAAAATAAGCTGGTCATATTAATGGCTCCCTAAAAAGATGAAGCATTTTATGTAAAATGGGGCTCCATAAAAAAACTCAAGTCTTTGATATATTTCTGCATTGTTTTATATTGACTTATTATGCTTATCCAATTAATTTGTTTGTTGTTTATAAAAAAAAAAATCCTTTAGGTAGTAAAGTTTTCTACATCGTTTAACCATAACTGCATGGTGCTGTTCATTAATATATAACCTTTACATTCAGGAAATATTCTGCATTTTCTGCTGTTAGAGGTCCGTATTATATAATCTTAATTTTTCTATAAGTATTTGTTTTAATAGCAACAACAGTGCAGCCAAAGAGGCTTTTGAGAAAAAGTACATGTAATAAAGAGGTTTCTTGATTCCCATTCTAGGCTTTAAAATTAAGCCTAAAGTATTAGCTTGCAAAGATCAAAATCTGACTATACTGCACATTTCAAGTGTCAAAATAGAAAAGATTTGCTATAAAACTTTAAAGAATTTCCATGAAGAAGTGAGACAGGAACACAGATGTACCGGCAGATGAAGACTGCGATGTGGCATCAGGCGCTTTGGTTGGTAAAGAGGTCTCTGAGGAGAAAAATGTCGCTGAAGAGAGCGAGAGATGAAGGTGCAGAACATGCAAGTTTAAAACAAACAGAAACAAGGTGAGAAACTCCACATGTACCTGTGTGAGCAGGGGTCCCTCCTGTGGCGTCAGCCGGGGAGGGCCTTTCTGTCCTTTCAATCAGGCGCGGTGTTGGAGTTTTGGCTAAAGAGTAAAGTGAGATCAACACAGATTTTTCATGGAAAGTGTTTGTTTCCCCTCTGAATCAAATGCGAAGGAGTAAAACTAAAAGACAGATGTACTGGTTAGAGTGGTCATATTCCAGGGCAGAGTTCCTGGTGTTGGAGGCGTCAAACATACAGACACTTTCAACATTGGTCGACCTTCCAGCTGTGAAGGAGTCGCACAGGTTATACTCTCTGGATTCACCAGATGAGATGTGTCCAACTCTGAGAACGGAGAACAACTTTTAGTCGTAAAAAACTTTTAAAAAACCTGGAGCTACTTGTGTCACACGTCACAAACCTTTCAGAGAGGCAATAAAGGCTTGGGCATCACAAGAGCAGTTCCAGGGATTCCCATGAAGGCTAATGGAGGTTAGGGACCTTAGAGAAGCCATCATCTGAAGGGGCAGCCGGGTCAGCCTGTTCTCAGATAAATCCAGATCAACCATCACACTCTGGAAGCTGAAGCTCTCTGGATAGATGGTTTGGATCCTGTTTCCATTCAGCTTAAGACTCTTAAGGTTTGTGAGTCGCTTCAGGTCCGACTCCTTTAAAACTTCAATCTGATTGCAATTAAGCGACAGCTCATGGAGGGCAGCAGGGTTTCCCAACCAGTTCTGGTTGATTTTGGTCAAGCTGTTACCATCCAAGTTGAGAGTTTTTAGATTTGAAAATGAGCTGAAGGCGTTTGCAGCGATTCCTGTTATGCCACTGTTTAGGCTTTGGAACTCAGTGATGGTGGAAAGGTGTTCGCTTTGCAAAACCGTGGAGTTGATTTCTCCAATATTCTTCAAACTCACAAACATGGATTCACAACCAGGGAGGAAATCTAGGTAGAGAGAAAACTTCATAAAAGTATGTTTCATTTGCTGTAGAAAACAATCCAATACTTTATGCTCAATAAAACAATTAACTTCTATGGTTTTACAGTGGTCTGCAAAAGTTTGGGCAACCTTGTTAATTTCCAAGATTTTCCTTCATAAATCGTTGGTTCTTAGGATAAAAAAAATCAGTTAAATATATCATATAGGAGACAAACACAGTGATATTTGAGAAGTGAAATGAAGTTTATACCATTTACAGGAAGTGTGCAATAATTGTTTAAACAAAATTAGGCATGTGCATAAATTTGGGAACCACAATCAAAAAAAAAAACCTCAATATTTAGTAGATCCCCCTTTTGCAGAAATAACAGCTTCTAAACGCTTCCTATGGGAGTCTGGATTCTGGTTGGAGGTATTTTGGACCATTCCTCTTTACAAAACACCTCTAATTCATTCAGGTTTGATGGTTTCCGAGCATGGACAGCTCTCTTTAAGTCACACCACAGATTTTCAATAATATTCAGGTCTGGGGACTGAGATGGCCATTCCAGAACGTTGTACTTGTTCCTCTGCATGAATGCCTTAGTAGATTCAGGGTCATTGTCCTGTTGAAAGATCCAGCCCCGGCGCAGCTTCAGCCTTGTCACTGATTCCTGGACATTG